GCCCGTGCTCCACTCTTCATGTAAAGTTTTGACTATGAATTCGAGTCTTACACAACACTGGGCCTTTGAAATTACGTACACAGATAACTAATTTATGCAAGCTTATTCTTCTCCTGGAAATTTGACTGTAGTACAGTTCCTCTTGTAAGCCACAGCACTTTCTTCCAATTCTGTGTTATTGCTGCTGTTAGTTAATGCTTGCAGACATCTCATTACTCTCCTTCAATTTTACCAGATGACAAATAAGCAGAAGACTAAGTATCAAATATTCAACTTCGCTTTCTGCTGTCCAAGGAAAGCGTTATGAACTAGGTGGGAAATCAAGGAAGGGAAAGAAGTAATAAAGTACACAGATCCTACAATGCCACTACTGTCCAAAGATGGAGGAAAAACTTAGAATTAGCCCGTTGTACAGCATTCAGTTGTCTGCACGAAAGTACTATTCTGCATTCTGGAAATAATTTAAAAGTAGCCTTTGTCAAGCTGTTTGCACGTCTGTCTAATTTTAGAAGCTTTCTTAAGGACATTCTTGTATTCAATACAAGAATACAAATTGAGTGCAAGTCTAGAGTCACTTCGGAATCTAAGTCAGCTATTGCAAATTCCACGTACAATGTTTGACTGTCTTAAGATTATTGGTACGTTCTAATTAAACTACTTAATCGACCACTCAATAATACCAGTAAAGCATGTTTTTGCATCCTTCTTTCCATATCTCTCCCTATTTTTCCAATAAAATGGTTTAATAAACATTGGTTACAATGTTCATTTGGAATTTGCAAAATAAAAGTCATAAATTAACAACAGATTCTCTGATAACAAGAGAATTAATTTTTAAATTACTTCTATACATGTATCAGTGTGTCGTATACTGCTCTGTATTCACTTCAGGACAAAGATTAATATTTAAGCAGTGAAATTACTTCTGTACTCGATGAATCAAGTGTGAAGTTTTTATTTTTACATAATGTTTTATTCAAAAATATCTGTTTTCATTTGATTATCACACTTGTTTTAATTCTCCCTTCCACTTCAACTCAACTGTCCTTGACCTTTCCAAAACAAACCTCTCTTCACCACCAACTTCGGCAGCACAGATGTCCATTTATAATCTCTGTAGAGCTTTTCAGCTTGTGCTCGCCTTAGATGCTTTAGCTCAATGTTGGTGCGCCTCATTAGGAAAGCAGACCTCAACAATTGGGAACTTCTGGCTTATCTCAAAGCAAAAAGAAAATCTGCTCCCCCCATTTCCTCTCACATACACTGGAAGAGCGACTCCTACGTTATTTCCACAAAGCAGCAGGTGAAAAACTTGACTGAACTTCCTTTCTGGCAACACACACTTGCCATAGGATAAGACTTATTAGTACATTACAAAACGCTGTTCCAACCAGTTAAAAAAAAAAAAAAGCATTTAAAATCACTGTAGCTGTTTATACTTGCTTAAGATTATATGTGAGTATTTTAATTGTATGTCAAAAATATTTAAGTGATACTAATTAGTAAAGAATTACTTAAAACATTTCAGTTTGAAAGAGATAAAGGTCTAAAGTAAATTTATTTCAACTCTTATAAGTCTTCTTTTATTTAGCACAAAAGCAATTCAATATCTTGCAATATTTGCTACCATTCCCACAATAGCAATCTGCAAAGCCGCTCCGCAGGCACTGGTTATGAAAATCCACTTTCTTTTTAAGAAGTTTATATCAACTATACTTCTCTTACCTTGAAATACATCAAAAGCCCATTTCAGCAGGTGTTAACAGTTACTGTCCACAACTTGTTTTACTCCCCAGACATGCCTACCCCACGGATGTCCTTAACTGACATTCCTTCAAGTTCTCCCTATTTATTTCATAACTGTGAAGAGACAAGCCAGCCTCAAAGAGGCTGAGATTTCTGTCTGGCCTCAAGGTTAACCTGCTGGAGGAGTCACTATTGAGCAACAGCAAACACACTTACCTGCTGAGCTTTGCCCAACCTGGTTAGCGCACAGAACCCACAGTTTTCTGCACACTGATGTTCCAAGTATTCAAGAAAAGCTAAAAGACTTATAATTTTATTTGTTGTTCTTTAGAGATATACAAGTTACTGAAGCTGGGGTATTAAGTGTAGAAGACAGAAAAAATAGCAGCAAGATGATAGATATTACCGTAGCGCTCAGCATACTTTCAAAAAAAGTGACAAGTAGCATTTTTTTTCCTGTTGCAGTTTCAGACTGTGGCAAGCTCATTAATGGTACACTGAATTGTTTTCTGTTCCCAAAGTGCTAAACAGCATACAGCAGTTTATTAATATAAAATATGCAAGCATTGGAACTTAAAGATCACAAGTGACAAACTTCTGTTAAACACTGGCAATATCTCATTGTAACCAAAAATATATTTTTAAAATAAGATTTTACCAATTAGCTGGTTGAGGCCCTTATAATATTTATAGAACTGCTCAATTAATGTTATATATTCTGGTTTTTCACAGGTGTTTTTTGTAATGTTACTCGGAAGTCATCAGTTTGATTTTAATATTTTCAGTACAGCATTAGAAGTACCCATATCCTGCCTTACCCAACATTTAAAAGAATAAAAAAAATGATCTGGCATACGCTTTCAAACTTTATCCTAAAAAGCACCAAAATCTGCTCTGTCAGAGAAAGACTGCAAAATGGGGGAGGGGAAAGAAATGAGGAAAAAAAGTCTTCTAAAACACATATATGTTATTGAGTAATGCTAAAATGCTAGCAGTATACTACTAAAGTAACTAGAAGTGTTTGTTACTATTTGTATAACATGTTCTCTAACAACTTTTCCTTTAGTATTACTGGATACTCTGTAACAGATTGAAAATAGTATTTGACAAAACCAGTATTTTCTCCCAAAACCTCTATTAAGAAGTGAAATATTTTAATAACACCCTATTGACACAGTCAGAAATCAAAGAGATGTGATTTATTTTAAACGGGAAATTATTCTGACTTGATATTGAACTAAAACAGGCCACTCTAACTGAACTATAACATGAGAGTAGCAAAAGCATAATAGAACTGTCACTTATTCTTCAAACTTAATTTGAAAAACATTGGGAAAAATGGGCAATGCTTGTGACAGTAGTATGTAGCCTTAGCTTTCTGACACGGGCTCATTTACTTCTAATTATAATTTTCAGTATTTGGGTTTTGAAGTCCTGCTGTCATTATGTGGCAAACACTGCCACATTTCCCAGATGGGAAGTACTCAACTCTGCATCTCCCAGTACAGACTTCATTTAAAAACAAAAATGGCACAAAGTTACATGAAAAGAAAAAGGCCCTTGCCTCAGTGATACTAAGAAACAAACAAAAAATATATATCTATGGGGATTCCTGTGCAGTTCATTGTAACACATTATCCACAAAGTTCAGTGGCATGAAAAAAATGGTTGGAACCATCTCTTGATGGCTTAATATTGATTACACTTCCCCTGATTTTCCATTATACACATGAAAAACTTGAAACTCAAGCTGTTAGGACCAGGTATGTTCCTCCCATTGATAAATTCCTGGGAAACAATAGTGGGAGAAGAAAAATCGAATTTTGGGGAAAAAATATGTTAAAAAGAAAAAAAGCAGCTTAGCAAAACTCCCTCTAAAATGCTTCCTTCCCCTCCCAATAGAGGAAGAGTATGCTCTCCAACAAGCTTTAGATACTTCTGCACCATAATTTCTACTAAAGCTTAGTCTTTCACTGCAGTCTCCCCTTTTTAGAAGTTTTCCTACAATGATACTTCTGAAGAACAACTTGAGAAAGAAAAAAGTGCATAGCACCAGTTGTTTGGTTGGAGGTATACTTCTCACTCCAACTTAAAACAGAAAATAGGAGTAAGGTGTTGGATGGAATAATTGGCATGGAGACTGCACAAAGACATATCCTCTTTTTGTGGGTGTAACTGTAAAAAAAGGACAGCATAAGAAGACTTGAGGAAGTGAAGCAAAGAGAAGAACTTTTTTTTTTTGATAGAGGGGAACTGGAAGCTCCTTTGACAAAAACAGACCTAAAATAATCTCTATTGAAAACTTCAGATCTTGGGAGGCTTTCACTATTCATTAATTTTCTAGGCCCATGACCCTTCAGAGTAGATTTGGGACTTAGTAGGGAAATAATTACATGTAATTGCACATATATTTATTCAGTTGACCATTTAAAAATTTCCATGAAGTACTATAACACAAGTTTAAGTAGTTCTTTGGCACTAGCAATTTTCTAGATTATTTAAGCACAAGAAAAATTAGTGTGTTTCTCTTCAGCCTTTTAAACAGCAAACATATGCCAGCGAGCCCTATAACGTTAAACCCAAATGCAAATATGAATTATGTTGATAAATTCTATGATTTTTACAGTATGTTTTAAAAACTACATTTTACAACACATCTTGAATTGGCTATAAAGCTGCTCTTCTTTGAGTCCTCTGGAGTTGGTAAACAAATGTAAATAGAAAGTACACTTCATGTGCTTTTTCTTGCCATCGATTTTTATGCAATTAATTTTTATATACATGCTTCCGCAGTAAAACCATGCCTATATATGAGAACTGTACGTAACTTAACAGTAGAATCATTAAGATTTAATGTTAATATTGATGCACTTTTATCTAAAGTATAGACAAGTTGCTGAATCTCTGCCACGCTTAAGCAGCACAATAATATTGGGGTTTAAGGTTTATTTTACTACACCAATATTTACGTGCTGCTAGGGCGGAACAAGTATGACAACTCTTCTATTCATCCACATGTCAGGAACACAAATTCATTAACAGAAAAATTTATGTTAGCATCTTCAACTGTTTCTCTTCCTTAAATTTCTAAAGCAGCAAATAATGATTCGCATCTTTATTAGAGCATGCAAACCATGATGTGCTGCTAGAGTACTTTAAGGCCTCCAATATAAGACTCAAAACCTAAACAGTATTTTGGTAACTGTAACTGGAAATATAGTTTTGCTTAAATTTGTTTTTATTCATACACCAACCTGTAAAATCAAGAATCTGTTATGGTCCAGATCAATTCCATGACTTCGAAGAAGAATACCAACATCTTTGAATGTTGACTTCTTTCCATTAATGTGATAGACAGAAGAATTATCTCTATAGGCAGTTCTAGATACACAAAAATTGCTTTTAGGAATGACTTCATAATCATCTCCTTCCTGTTTTGAGGAAAAACAATGCCAGAAGAACAATTAGTATATCACAGGTTTACCTCATATTTCACAATTAAGCACAGAAATTTTATCATGTTAAGGCTTAGGCTAACTGCACTCTGGAGTCCAATAGAAGTGGGAATTGTCTTAAAGAATATATACCTCAAAAAAACATCTTGAGAATTGGACAAAAATACCCCAAATTGTTTAAACAGAATGGCCCTCATATTATGCATTTCCCATCTCCAACAGAAACTATAGCTTTGAAAATATGTAATTTATTCTCTTTGCCACTACTTCACATCACAAAAGAAACAGCCTACTTCAATACTAAAGTGCCTTTGATATTCTACCCTTTTAATTTTACTTTAGGAAGTCTTGAATGACTTGCCACCGTCTACATTTAAGCTCTTTTATAGTGCTAGGAAAAGAAGTTACTCTTAGCTGAGGAGTTCTAAAGAGAAACTGTAGAAGACAAAAAAGCAAAACATTAGAGATGTGATAAATATGATATCATCAGCTTCAAAAGAACTTACCTAAAAAGCAGCAACTACAGTAAAGCTGGTACTATACTTTAAAAAAGTTAAAATTGTTGCATGCTTCTTGTAAAGACTAAAATTGCCCTAACACTTTCCCACATCAACCCCCAGGAGCATAATGAAATTTGTATATAATGTTTTCAGAAGTTTTTAACATCATAAATTTAGCTTCTAGATGTTAACGAAGTCAAGTCAAAAATAAGAATAAATAATTATTGAATCTGGCTCTTACAGACAGAAGCAAAAGATGTGTGAATGTAGATCAAGTCAAAGAAAAATTCTGTTTTAAAACAGTTCCTTTAAAGACCATATATATTTTCATCTTATTGCCACAAGTTTTGAAACTTCAGTGTACATTTCCCACTATATTGACTAACCTCATACTCAAGATGATACTTCAGCCAGACTAAGTGTCCACAAAAATTAAATTAAAATCAAGTAAAATAAATTGTCTGTTGCAATTACAGTGCAAACAATTGTCAACAAAATTGTACAGAAGTTTTTAACCAATTTGTGCAGTGGCAAGCAAAATAAATATTTTTTAAATTGTCAACACTTTCTATTTCATTCAAACAAAATGTCAGGTTCAGAAGTGTTTAGTCACAGAGTGTGAAGTGTAGAATTTTTCACGAAAAATCTACTTTAAAATTGCAGGCACGTTTACAGTACATGAAGTGTAAATAAGAGTTTCAGATTAATTTTACATTTTCTAAATTTTCTAAAATAGTTTCAATTGGTTTGAAAAGTTTTGCTTAAAAGGGTTTTATCTCTTAATCTATATGCTTGTAATACAAGCTTAAGAATATGCAACATATCCAAATGTAGATTTAAAAATTTTTAGAGGTGTTATTAATTTCAGAAAAAGGCTTTATTTACTGGAGGTAAAAGAAAAGACAACTCTAAAACGATTCCTTAAAATGACTGTTATATATTTTTAAGTAGCTTTGAAATGAACATGTTCCAGATATTAGTGTTGCAGAAAAAAAAAGAGAGGAGCTCTTATTAATATTTTAAGTACTGCACTACTCGATAGAGGATATTTTAAGCTAATTCTAAACTTTGAATTGATGTTTTACATCCCAGTGGTAAACTAATTATGCTATGAAGTTTTCCCCAGCTCAGACTAATTAATTATTGAAGCCATCAAATCCTGAAAGAAAATAAGTCTCCCCTGTTCTGAACAGAAGAATACATACCTTGTCAATGATCTTTTGGAAGTGGATTTCCACAGAACAACTCTGGATGTCCGTATGTTCATCAGAATTATGGATCAGCACAGAGAGTTTTTTGGATCTGATTTTTTGTGCTCGATACCCAAACACAAAAAGCATTGAATCAATGATATTGGATTTTCCACTGCCATTTGGCCCAATAATACATGAAAAACGCTACATAGTAGAAGGAAAAAAAAAAGTGACAGTCAAAGGGAAATAGATCCTGGCTAGTGTAACATCATCTACTTCATTTGTGAATAGTTTAAAACACAATTATTTCTACTGAAGAAAACTGCAGATTATTTGATAGCTTAATCTTCACTGCCAAAGGTAGAGCAGTACAACTTATTTAAGAAAAAAACACCTCAACTCAGCTCAGCTTTCTAAATTTTAACTTGTTAACTCAAAACGATACTGCACTTAGCAAGCATGTTCGCAAGGAAAGTTTCATGATTAGCCACGTAAGTCTCTTGTGGGCACTAAAAAATATTCTCATTCTTCAAACTTACCCCTAAAAATTCCCCAGTAAACGAAATAAAGAGAAAAGTGTGCTTTTTTAAGGTTTACTGACAAATTAAAATTGTACAGTATCAGAAAGTTGCACTTAACTGTTTTCTCTTCTGCCCAACAGCTCAAATACAGAATATCACCCTAGAAGCAATCCTAAAACCTAAATATTCTTCAGTTTTTCTGAGGTAAGGTTATGTGAAAATACAGGAAGGAATACCAGCACAGTGAAGTCTTACCTTCATTTAGAAAATGATTAAGGTAAAAGAAAGATACCTTATGAAAAGGTCCCAAAATTTGCTCCCCTGCATAGGATTTGAAGTTCTGGTTTACAATATGAGTTATCATGAGACGAGGAGCACCAGGTTCATTGGTCATTGCTGGAGGTGGGGGAGGAGGGATGCTACCCAAAATCTCTTCTAAACTTCGATTGTCAGGCACCTCATTTGAGACTGCTAAAAACCATCCAAAATAAGCAGAAAGAAAATTAAGACTATAAGCTCTCCATGACTAGACACCTTGTAAAGTGTTCAATTCGATAAGCAAACATCGTTTCTATATTAACCAGACCTATACATTTGCGTGCAAGTGTTAAAATCAGCTAAGTGGCATTAAAATCCTCCTTCCAATGAACTAAATCTTTAAAAAGAGATACTTAAGATGTCCCATCGATTCACTAGTGGGTTTGTTCTTTCATTATGTAATTCTTATTCTAACACACTTTAATAGGCACTCTGCAATTACAGTTGCTACAACCGTCACAATAAGCCTACAAATCTGAAACAGGCAAAGACTTTCTAATTAATAAGTGCAAAGCCACATTTCAAGTGTGCTCGCAAGTCACTCTGCAAGATTTGGGGATCGCTGCACAATGCTCTGAAAGCTGTAATGACAGCACAACTACTCTGCAAAGACAGGAAGTTTGTTACGAAAACAAACTGGCCCCCTGGATATCTGCTAGTTGTAAGCAAAGCAGCTTTTCAACAGTTACTAGCAACTCTTTCTTCAAATAGACAGCCGTTTTTGCCACCAATTTCAACATATCAATCCATTTGTCAAACACCTTTGCTTTAATAATTGCCTATCTGGCTACCGAAACAGTCACACGCTGCTGTTTTTCCAGACATTTTCAACAAAAACCTCAAGGAACACAAGAAAACACACTGGTTCATGAAAAAGAAAGTCAAATCATTTTAAGAGTTAAGTAAATAAACTTGACATTTATTCCATTCCAAGAAAACCCATACCATTGGCTGCATATAAATTTGAAAAATCCTGCTGTTGTATCATAATCTTAAGCACAATGTTATAGAACAGGAATACGAAATAGGCTCTATTAGGAGAAAATCTATAAAATTGCTTTTGCACTTGTACTGTGTCACTGGTCCAAACACTTTAACTCTTTTCAAACCCTCTTCACCACTTTAAAAGCAGTTTAAACTTGCCAGGAGTCAACGCTTTCAATATTCCTTTCTAGACGAGAAAAGGGTGAATCCCCATCTGGCACAATCAGTAAATTCAACTGAGCATTGTTGCTAAATATGCACTATCGGCTAGTTTACATGCCATCGGAACCACAAAATTCAGACCTACCTTGTGGTTGTACTTCACCAAGCTGTCCGTTTCCTTGTTTTTCCACTTCCATGTCACTGGTGGAATCCTCTAAAGGCTCCCTGCCCTTCTGATGGGCTGCTGTGGATGTTTTGGTGCTCTTGCTTGCCATGGTTATCTGTTGGCTGTTCCCCTTCAATTCCAAGCAATCAAACTACTGAAGGGATCTACCTCCTTTTCTGACATAAACAAGAAAACCCCGTGATCTATGATTTGAACTACAATCCCCTAAGGAATATACCTATGTGCTAATCCACATGTTTGACTATCGTGGAAACTAAAGACTAGATGTATTTTGAAGGCAAAAATCCAAATTCGAAACGAAAACAAAAGCTGAGCCTCGCAAACACATCACCCGTCACCCCAAAAAACAACGGACCCACCCTAATCTGCAGAAACAGCACGAATCTACCTACTGAAAACTCACACGGCCATGTTCAGTGGAGTTAGCATGCTCAGAGAAAGCAACCGTGATGCTGGGGGCCAAAGAGTTAAAGACGCATTCGCAAAAACAAACTGAAAAGCCATATGTCTCCCCTCTCCTGGAAGCGCCCTTTACATACACCTTTCAGACCTGACACCCGTTTTACTTTCAACACTCCATGCTGGCTACGTGCGTGTACACAAACAAAAAGAGCTGTGTAATTATAGCAAAGGCTTGGCTCTTAAGCAGTTTAAATCAATACGCTCGTTTCACGAGATATAACAGCCTCTATACTGCTAGCATTCAACGTTTGACAGAGAAAGCAAGACGAAATACCTTCATCTAGTTCTGATGTTAAAGTTATCTGATCAAGAAGGAAGCGGTACAGGAGTCCATCAGCTGGCACTTAAGCCCAGCTCCCAAAAAAAAAAAGTAGAAACAGAAAACAACCGATGCGAAGAAAAGACGGCCGCGGGAGCGAAACTCTCCCCAAAGAGTTTAAATTGCAGCAAGTGGCGGAGTTAGTTTGCAGAAAAACAGACATGAGAAAGTTTACTTCTCACAAGATAAAAAACTGACGTGGTTAGAAAGTCATCTTACAATTGGTGCCAATCATTTGACGTTTTCAGACCTACCCCCAGCCCACACTCTCATGAGAGCCCTTCATTTGGGACAATGGGGGAGGGGGGGAAACGAGCGAGAGATCTCATTTTAAGGCAATTTGAGTCAGTGCCCCGGTTCAGAAGTGTTCCGCAATGGCTGTCTCAGACAATTACAGCTCTCGGAGCTTCAGATTTATTTAATTTTTTCCCCCAAAACCGTTCCACTCCAAGGGAAGGGCGCAACACGGACCCATCCACCTCAGCGGCCCCCTCCCAGCCGGACCCTCACCTCAGCCTTCAAACGGCGGCAAGCGGCGGCCGCCGGCTCCCTCAGCAGCTCCCCAGCCCCCCCCCCCCCTCCAAAGCCAGCCCCGAGGTGCGGGCTCAAAGCATCTCTCGGCCACCTCCTGCCCCGGGCAGAGCGAGAAGGAGCCGGGCACAGCGGCTCCCTGACGGCTCCGGGGCCGAGAGCCGGTGTCAGCGAGGGGCTGGGAGCCTCCCGAGCCGCCCCTCGCCCTGAGGGACGCGGCTGCAGCCCCGCCGCCGTCTTTCCAAGCGGCTCAGCCCTCGGGCTCGGGACTCGGAGGAGCTGCGGGGGGGGTCCCCGCTTTTTAAGGGGATCCAAACGGGGCTTCAGCACCCCGGGGCTCAGCTCCCCGCTCCCCCCGCCGGTCCCTAAGGGCGCAGGGGCAGCCCCCTGCCGCCTCTCCCCCCAAAACCCCTCACACGACGGCACCGGGCGCCGAGCCCCTCACAGCCGGGGGGGCTCCGCCGCACCCCCCTCAGCGCTCTGAGGGGCAGCGCCCGCCACCCCCGCTCCCGGCCGCTCTCCTCACCGCCTCAGCGACCCCCGCCGCCTCCTCCTCTTCCTCGGGGGAGCTCCCCTCGGCCCCCTGCCCCGGGGAGCGGCCGCCGGTTCCCCGGCCGGGGCGGCTCGGAGCGGCAGCGGTGCTGGGGACCGGGCTGGCCGCGGCGGCTCGGCGGCTGCCACACTCGAAAATGGCGCCCAAACGGCGAACTCGAACCGAAATTCGTTAGAAAGGCGCGGGGCACGCTGGGAGGGGCGGGGGCCGGCCCGCCGCGCGTTTGAAAGGAGGGAAAAAAAAAAAAAAAAAAAAAAAAAAAAAGCAAAAAAAAAAAAAAAAAGGCAAAAAAAAAGTCCCGCCGGGCGCCATCTTGGCGCCTCACCGCGCTCCGGGCCGTTTGGGGGTGGATTTTTTTAATTTAATTTTATTTTTTAATATATTTTTTATTTTTTTTTTAACGGGGGTGGCTGAGGCGCTGTTTGAGGCGCCTCAGCCGCTCCCCGCGCGGGGGGGGATGAGGGGGGGGTGTGGGGGTCGTTTGGGTTTGGGAAGTAGGTCAGGGGGCGGCGCCTGGGCGTGCGGACGGGGCTTTTAAGACTGAAATATAATGATAACGGTAATAAAAATAAAAGTGAGGATCGTAAAAATGTGGTGCGGTTTTCGGGCGGCGCTAACTAACGGGCGGCGCGGGGCCGCGTCACCTGGGCTGTCACCGCCCGCCCGGGACCGTGAGGTGGCCGGGGGGGTTTGGGGGGGGGGGGGGAGGAGGAGGAGGGAGGAAGAAGAAGGAAAGAGGAGGAGGAGGAGGAGGAAAAAGGAGGAGGAGGAGGAGGAGGAGGAAGGCGAAGTCTCGCGGGAAGTCGCTATAGAGACGGGGGGGCCGCGGAGACGCCGCCTGTGCCGGGAGGAAGGCGGGAGCCGCCGGGGGCCGCCTCAGGCCGGCCGCTGAGGGAGCGGCGGCGGTGGCTGGCTCCGCTCCGCTCTGCTCCCCGCAGGTAAAGGCAGGGGGCGGCGGGTGAGGGGGCTGCGAGCCGGGATCTGCGAGCCGGGACCCGCGGGGGTGCGGGGAGAGCCGCGGGCAGGCTGGGGACCGGCTCCGCGGGGGTGCGTGGCGGGGGGGAGCGGCCGCCCGGGGAGCTGGGCAGCGGCCTCGGTGCTGTCCCTGAGGGAAAAGGGGGAGCCGCGTCCCTCTGCCTCCTCCTGTCCGCCTTTCTCAAGCTCTTGGGCCCTCTCCTTCCCCTCCTGGGCCGTCTCTGAGCCCTCACTTCTCGTCCAGCAGCTGCGGAGGGAGAGCAGCTGAAAGGAGGGGAGCGCAGGGTGGGAATTGCGGTGAGGAGGCAGGGGGCTGAGGTGTTTTTTTTAAAGGGCAGTAGTTTGAGGCCGGGAGAAACAGAGCCGAGCTCATGTAGAGCAGCTTGCTGCCTGCCCTTGGTGCCCAGCCGCCTCCTTCTTGCCGTATCGTTTTGAAAAGCTTCAGGGAAATGCTTTCAGCTGATGTGCTAGCAGTTAGGCTGCTGAGATCTGTCAAGAATAAATGCACGAAGGGTGCAGGGTGAGAGGAGTCGCCGCTGTCTGAGCTGTCCTGTGCCCCGAACATCTCACCTGGCCCTGACAGGTGCAGCCGCGGGGCTGATATCGAGCAGGTATCTCGAGCAAGTTCATGCCATTTAGTTGCACATAATGAGTGTTTTGAAGTGGCCTTTTCAAAAATTACAATATTTACTTAATTCCTTGAAAGTAAATTAACAGAATTAATGTGATTTTTAAAAAAATTACATGACAATTTGTTTGTGGTGTCCCTGCAGTGGAAGCTGGCCATACCAGCGTGTCTCCTGAAACTCTTAAGTGAGGAATAAGAAGTTAAAAACTATCAAGAAGCAGCTGAAAGGGTGGGTTTAAGTGTGGAAAACATTGCAACAGAGGCCAAACAGGTATATGGCCCTGCTGAGCAAAGGTGTTGCCGCTATATAGAAGTCAGGGACTTGATTAAAAGTTGGAAGTTGAGCACAAACTTAGGCCCCTTCTAAACACCAGCGTGGTGAGGTTTGCCACGCAGCTTTTGGTTAAGGTATGAGAATGAGATTAGACATCCAAATATGAGAGAGAGAATTATTTAAAAATTACATTGGTTAACACACGCAATAGTTAAGTAGGGTGGAAAATTAATTTATTTTATCCTTTGGGCATCCTTTTAATGTTTCTTAAGTTCTGCATAGTACCTGTTTGACACATCATAATTTTTATGATGGAAAAAAATCCAGAAGTTCAGAAGGTCACACTGTGTATCATTGTGCTCTCCTGGGAGCATACTGTTTGTCCTAAACAGTATGGTGGATGACAGAGTGAGATATTGTATAATTTGGTCACAGCAGGATTACTTTCATATCATAGTTTTTCTCACAGTGCTGTCACTAAGCATGAAGCTTCTTAAAAATTTGTGATTCCAGGTTTTCCCTTGCTACTGTCACAGCTATATGTCTGCACAACGGCGATGTCAGTATTTCAGCTTACAACATTCCAGCAAAATGCTCCTGCCATGAGCTGTTCTTTAAATTGCCCACTGTGTTTATACTCAGCAGTCGTGTTAAGTATGCAGTTGGGTACTAGACAAACAAAATTCCCTTCAAACTCAGGTTCATTTGGTGCTTATTTTGGCACAGTGCTAATGCAATACGGGTCATTCAAAACTTTGCCTTGCTGTTGGTATCTTCCTTCTTAGTTTTGGCTACTTACGTATGTTTGCTTTGTTTTATTACAGTTATACCTCCATACCTTTTTTAATGATACATCTGAGCAACTGCAATGAGACTGAAGACTTCACTTTTAAAGGAACCAAAGCATATCCTTTGTCTCAGAATAAACCACAGAAAAGCATGTTATTGTTATTTAGTTTCTTTCCTAGAAATGATTTTATTTACCTCAAACCTTGTAGTAAAATATTTGTAAATTGCAGGTGGCTTTTTTTAACTTTACCATCTAGTGCAGTCTTTAAGGGCAATGTTTTAAGAGATGTGGAGCTGTCAACGTTTTGCTACTAAGTTTTAAGTTTTTCATTCCTTTCCTGTTTGTAGTGATGTTAAATCTTTCCAAGACAGTAAATAGGAGTAGTGATATTGTATACTTTCTTGCAAGAGGATGCACACATAGCAGATATAAACAAAAGTGTGATTTTCCATTTCTTAACGAATATGTCAATAGTTTATATACGTTGTGGTGTTAATAAACCAACACCACGTGTGTTGATGTGAACAGTAATAGGGCGATTTGCACTTGCATTGTTCACTAAGATGCTTTACAAGTGTAACCCAACAGTTCTACAAAGTTTCAATAAATAAATCTATATCACAGTAATTATTTTTACATGATATGGCTTGTCTGCTTTGTTTCCTGGTGAATTTCTACCATCTCTTTCCTTGACACAAAAGAGCAAAGAAAAAATAAAGAATCATATTTCCTGTATACAAAACAATTTATGCAATCTTATGAAAATAATGTTACTGTACTGAGATATTTTATGTCCATTTTTGATGATTAAAATTTTCAGATTTCCTTAATTTAATTAAACATAAGGAATTAGTTAGCTGTGTGGGATGGACTACAGCTGATGAGCTCTATTCCTGCAGTGATGACCACCAAATTATGAAATGGAACCTTTTAACTAGTGAGACTACTCGAGTAGTGAAACTCCCAGATGACACTTATCCCATAGATCTTCACTGGCTTCCCAGAAGTGTAGGTGGGAAGAAGCAGTCCCTTGCTGAGAGCTTTGTTCTTACAAGTTCTGATGGTAAGTCAATTAAAAATGCATACAATGTTATACCACTTTGTGCTTACATCACAAATACTTAAAGAATTATTTGCATTTAAATAGTCTGCAATAAAACAACTTCAAATACCTATATAGGAGTTGCACTGATAGATGTTTCCCAGTTGCACAAAATACATAGTTGCACAAAACAAATGTTTCAAAATTAATACATTGTATTAGCATAGTTTTCACTGATACATCATTATTAGACATACTTCTGTCAGCAGATACATAATTTTATATGTAAAGTCAAATTCTGTCATATTTCACAGCTCATTTCCCGTTTGTCTATTTCATTATCCAGTAGCTTTAAATATGTCTGAACTACCTACCAACGTAGATACCAGATGATTGCTTATAGCTATTAAAACAGAAGATACTGAAATTGCTTAATTGTTATGTTTAATATCAACGTAGACTGTATCTTGGACATACTACAAGAACATGTCTTGTGTCTGCTTTCTCTGGAGTCTTGAATATCCCTCTGAAGCATCTAGTTCTGGCTGTCAGCAGATCTGCAAGACTAGTCTGTGTGTTTGCTGTGGTGGCAGACGTATATACACATATATCTGCTGTGTGCTGCTGTGTCTCCAGTGTAGTCGTGCACTGGACTGGACTTTATGACAGTAGTGACAGTAGTGACAGGTATTCCAGTGCACAGATTCTGTTTTGTGGAAGGGAAGCAGGAGCCAGGGGGTTTGATGATTGCTTGTTTTCTTTCTTCCTCCCCAAAGAGACATTAATTTTTGTCAAGCTTAAGCACAGTCAAATTTTTTTTTCCTGTATGGTAGCAAATTTTTCATATAGCCATTTCAGTGAAGAAATCTCAGGTAATTAGTTTCATTATAGTTTTACATTTATTGTGAAGCAGCCCTTACAAGTCAGGTCAGACTTGTCTCCTTTCTTCCTGGTGTTGCAGTTGGGATTATGATCCATGCCATCAACAGTTTTCTGTGTATGTTTTCCCTGTCTTTTCTTCTCTTATCCCTTTTCTTCATTAAGTAAAACACCTGGACTTTTTTTCTCCATTTTTTAAAAGAAAATACGAAAAATAACAGTAAAGAGAAATTTTCATCCATCCCCTTTTTATTTTTGCTATTAAGAACTTACAGTGTGGATACCCTGTTTCTTCCTGAACCTGTCAATTTTAAAACCAAGACTGCAAGGTGTTTGATCCTTTATGAAATTTGCTTTTATTTTATCTTACATTGACGTTGTTACTTACCATGAGCCTGCTGATGGGATGTTGGTTTGGGAAGGGTTTCTAACACTTCCATGTGGCACATCCAAGAACGTGGCAAATGGGAGACCTGGAAAAGCTCTACGACTCGCTTGCAGAAGTTGGGCAGTCCTTATGTGGATCCTAACATCTCATACCTTTGTTTTATTCCACTGAAAACGCAGTGAAAGGTTTCAGAATAAGTC